CATTTTCCTTGTCAAAAAGTCAATATACAGAAGTGCATGCGCATGGTTGAAAGCTAAAACAGAGCTCTGACCAGTTGAGGGTATTTTGGTCATATCTTGGTTCATAGAGCTCCAAATTTGATGATTCTTAAAGCATTGGAAATCTAACTCAAAGGGCTACAACTTTAATGTTTTGTACAAAAGCTAGTCTGGCCTCCATCATTGAGAAAATAACAGTTGAAATGATGCCAAATTCACAGAAGTAATACGTGACCCTTGAATACGCGAGCTGTAGTCGTGTATTCCAAGGTCGTGTATTGTAGCATGATTTCTGCAACTTGCTCAGCCACTTGCCCTGTTTTCACACCACTTTCTAGTTCTACTCCAGACAAGAATTTCAGCTGCGCATGTTCAAGGGACTTTTTGGAAGAGAAAATGAGCTTTATGTCTTGTCCAAAAATCACTTTTGACTCTCTTAACACTAGAGATGTTAGAATCATTAGAGGAGGAGAGAATAGGACATTATAAGTAGTTATTATCAGATTTTAGCATGAGAGCTTAGGAGAGTCTTGTCTTGTTCTCTGTAGCTAGAGCTTTTGTGAGAACAATTGGAGACTTCATGTACAACTCATTTTGTTGAAAAAATAAAAGATCATTGGGAGTTTCTTCACTAATCTTGGCTAAGTTTTCTTTATCTATCTTTTACTTGTGATTCAATATGTGTTTATACAATAAAGCAGTGTTCTTTCTTATCATATATTATATGAGTAGCTAACTTTCTAGATCTAGGGAGTAGAAGAAGCTTATGACTACTTGATATGAAGTGAATATGATTTGCACTTGTTACACATTGTATTAACTTGTTTATTTATGCATGCTTATCACTTGTTATTGCTTGATCACCAATAGCAAACTTATAGTTGTTATTACTCAATGAAAGTTGGTAATAATAATAGAACAACATAAATAGAGTTTGAGTAGTATTCTCATGAGAATAGAGATACACTTAAGTGGATTAAACTTACATTTTATGAAGGAACAAGAGTAGATAATATTGGAAATGAATCCCTAGTTAAACAAGAGTTATAACATGAGGTAAATCTATATATTTTTATCTTTTATACCATAAGTGTAATCTATATCCCTAGACTCAAGTATTTAGTGAATTTTCTCTATTGTTACCTTGCAAATATCTAGTTAAGACTAGTTAGGTAGTAATTACAACTTCTCTTGGTTAAATTGATCATTAGTCTAAATAATAGAGTAAGTAAGGATCTAGTACATGCAAAGTTGTTCTTTGTGGGATCGACCCGATATATACCCTAAACTAATAGCTTGACCTGTATGCTTGCAGTAAAACAGGTGTAATTCGGAATTAAACTTATACTTACATCAAAAATTCGTCAAGTTTTTGGCGTCGTTGCCGGGGAGCGGCAATATTAGGATTTAACAAGCTTTATTAATTTAGACATTCTCTACATTAATTAGCTAAACTTTGTTTCTAGTTAAGTTAGAATTTCTTGTAGTTTTGTGAAATAATTCTACATAATTTCTTTATTTTTGTTTGTAGTGTTTGTGTGACAGCCCCACCTCTTCTTAGGGCGAACCCTTGGGTATCAGCGGACTGTCTGCCCAACTCTCACCGGGGCTCGGTCGATCAAAGAACTATCAACTCAAATGAAATTGATGAATTACCTCCCAAGTAAGGGAGTGTAACCCTAATTGAAACATAATCACTATGCCAATTATCCAAAGCTTAGTATATATAGCTAAATGTCAACTTACCACTCCACACTTAATTTACATGGCATAAGTCGAACTTATGAATTCAAACTTACAAGTCTTCTCAAACAAAAGTTACAAATCTCCAAATACAAGTTCAAAGCAAAATAAAGCTAAGAAAGCTCTTGATCAAGTCCATTCCCGATCTGTTAAGGAAAACAAAGGGAATGGGGTGAGTTAACACCCAGTGAGGTTCCAAGTAAACAAGTAAGCACCTAGCCAAACAAGGGCACAATATGATCAAGTAGAGATCATAATATAATCAAGTAGAGACCATACAGTATGATAACAATTGAATCACAGTTCAATTCAAGGATACGGGTGGCTTTCAAAAGTCAGAAACCATTTGAGCTTGATCATAACCGCATCCGTTGACTCTCCGTCAACATTTGTCTTCATAGAATATAAAGTCCGTAGAACACCACTTTCACCGTTCTCCGTCCACCAGTCAACCCCCTACCGGGCCCGCACACCATAAACAGTAGTTTGATAATACTCGAGTATACCAATTTTCAGTGTTCAGTAAACAGTCCCCAAGATTTGCCGGCCTTCTCAACCAAGCCCATACTGGCTCGATAGAACCGACTCACCTATGAGGTTGGGTACCCAAACAGTAGCAATAGTTGATGGGATATCACCCAAGCAACTCAAACACAGTCATACATAGAGATATCACATCTCATAATAATAGTATATAGAGTCTCAGTGGAAACAAGAGAGGTCGAGTGCGATAAAGTACATGCTCGCCTCCATTTTTATCAAAACAGTGTTTGGCTCAAACAGTCGCAAATCAAGTATTTCAAGTATTCAGATATTTTACATAACAGGTAGCAGGTAGTGGAACACTCACCTGTCAAGCAATGTAGTAGTCAAACGTCAAATATCTCAGTTACGACCACCTTTGTTTCCCAATCCTAGGGCAACGAGTGAAACCGTTAACAAATTAGGTTCATTTCCCACTCAATTGTAGGGTCATTAAGAGACCAAGTGAGTGGTTAAAGCCATTCAATTCATCATGAAAATGATGTCCAAAATGCAGTAAAAGTTCATGGGAAAACAAGTTTAATAACTGCATGAAAGTTGGGCAAAAGAAAAATCTCATTCAAGCTTAGAATGTTCTTCGCGGGTAAAACAGTCGCGCCCACGCAGTCTCGGTAAAATGGCTATAACTCACTGTAGGAAGGTCGGAATCAGGTGCCGTCAGTGGCGTTGGAGACTAGACTCGATACCAAATACACACTCTAGATCGTCTCCTATCAGTACCAGTAGCTCAGACAAGTCGGCTGATTTTCCAACTCTGGATCAGCCCTAACCTCAAGCAAAACTACATTAGTTCTTGGTGCTATCTTCATTTGTTTTAGTTCAAATTTACCCAAATCAGTCCTCAAATGTTCATATACCGGGATTCAAGTCACCTAGTACCATTGGAGTTCACAATGTAACACATAAACATGTTTAAGAATAACCATAGCAGTCTAGTTATCAAGGGAAACCAAAATAGTCCCCTAGTGGTCTAACCAACCACTTTACTTGCTTAAATTTCATTCCAACTCACACATGAGCTTAACCAATGTTTAGTCAAGTTTCTTAGGCTTGATTAAGGTGCAAATAAATCACAAAAATCAAGGAGAAACCCTTCCTTCAAATACCGGTCAGCCAAGGTAAAGAAAACAGTCCACAAGTTCACATATTCATCCAACCTTCATCCTCCAATGATTTTCACTTAACAACATATCAAGTGTTAAATCTAACTCAAAAGAAGTTTAAAACATGTTAATACTTCGTAAGCAACCGTGAACAAGGTTCAAACATTTCATCAAACACTTGGTAGGCATACTAACTAACTCAACTACTACTTGTTTAATTCAAGAGATTAACCCCAAATCTCAACCAAACAACTTGTAGTTTGCCATTAAAACTTAAAGTACATGATAAAACACCATAAAACTATCATTTAAAGAATATTTACCTCTCTTGTAGGAAGCTTGTACTACCAAATCAATCCACCAAAATGAAAGTTTCAAGCTTGAATCAAGTACTAGGGTTGGAGGAAAGTTTCTCACTAACTCAAGATCTTTCTCTTTTGGTTTTTGCTCTTGATCAACTAGGGTTGAATGCAAGAATACGAAGTTCTCTCTCTTCCTTGACAAGCCTCAAGGAGTTCGGCCACTATGAGGAAAGAAAAGGCTAAGCTTAGTTTAAATTGTCTTCTAACCATTGGTGAAACAAAATACTTGGCTAGGGTTTTGCCACATTAGCCCTTTCTTGTCCACAACTTCTCTTAATTCTTTGACTAATGATGTTTTAACCCTTCCAAATGTACCAATACCTATTTAACACCTCTAATCTCTCATATAAAGTCCCTACCACAAATAAAAACCACTTGGCAAAATGTAAGTGGTGAAATATTTAAAACCAACTCAAGAAATTGTTTTAATTCAAATAAAAGGAAATGAAATGTAATACATGGGAAATGTTATAACACATAGGGAATATGATGCAAGGGCATATTATAGGTGGTCTAAGTCTTAGAATAAGGCATGTAGATAAGAAAAAATTGTGTTTTAAAGTGAGGGTCAATACAAGGGAATTGTTGTAACACATGTAAAATACAATGCTAGGGCATATAATGAGTGGTTTAAATCTTAGGACAAGACATGTAGTTTAGGGAAATTATATTTTAAAGTGAGGGTTCTCACAGTATGCATCGGATTTTACGGGTAGTAGCATCTTTTGATCCGAAAATTGAAAGGACGCTATGTAGATAAAGAAGGCGTACACCACAACAAGAAGAAGAAAAGGTTCGACAACAAATAGAGGGAATCGTGATAGAGTTACTTTTTGAAGAAGAAATGGCGGAATACAAAGCAAATAGGCAAGCTCTTAGGGATTTTGCTATATCGGAAATCCAAGAATTTCAAACAAGTATAGCACGGCAGACGGTAAACGCTAATAATTTTGAGATTAAACCATCATTAATCTAAATAGTACAACAATCTCAATTTGGAGGTAATGCTGTAGAGGATCCAAATGCACACTTAACCACATTTTTGGAGATATGTGATACAATCAAAATGAATAGAGTTAGTAAGGATGCTATAAGGCTAAGGTTGTTCCCATTTTCATTGAGGAATAAGGCTAAAATTTGGTTATATTCTCTTGCTCCTAATACTTTCACTACTTGGGATGATTTGTTTAGTGTATTTTTGAATAAGTATTTTTCACCGGGCAAAACGGCTAAGGTTAGAATGGATATTACTAGTTTTAGTCAATTGGATGATGAATCATTATATGAAGTATGCAAAAGGTTTAGAGATTTGTTTTGAAAATATCCACACCATGGACTTCCCAATTGGCTAATTGTACAAATCTTCTATAATGGTTTATCCTTTCTACTAAAACTACTATTGATGCAGCCGTAGGTGGAGGTTTGATGGCAAAATCACCCCAAGAAACTCAAGGTTTGATAGAGGAAATGGCGAAAAATACTTATCAATGGGTTCATGAAAGAGATAATCCCAAGCACCAAGCAGGTATGATTGAAATTGATACCATCAATATGCTCAGTGCTCAAATGAGCAATATGATGAAGGTGTTGAATAGACAAGTCAGATGTGGTCAAAGTTCATCTAATGTACATGTGGCTTGTTATTCCATGCGCGGAGGTGATCATGATACTAATAAGTGTGTTGATCTTGAGCTGGCTCAATTTGTCAATAATTACAATAGGAATGCTCAAAACAACCCATATTCAAATACATACACAATCCGGAGTGGAGAAATCATCCAAAGTTTAGGTAAAAAGATCAAGGCAATCCACAAAAACTGACCAATCCGCCGGGATTCCAATCAAGGCAATCACAGACGAATACTAAACTGGATTAGGAGATTGTGATGGAAAAATTGGTTAAGAGCACTTCGAAAAGATTTGAATGACTAGAGGGGTGGTTGGACCAATTGATTGGGATGCATAGAAACGTAGAGGTTCAAATTAGTCAAATAGCTAATTCAATTAACAATTGAAATCAAGGGGAATTGCCTAGTAAAACAGAGGTAAATCCGAGAGAACACGTCAAGGCCATTACTGTTCATAGTGATAAATGACTAGAGGATCCTCCGAGGGTAGAAAATGGAGGGAACAATGAAAGTGAGAAACAAGTAGATGAGCAAATGGAGCAAGAGATAAATGTGGGGGAATGTAGTAAGGAAAAATCGAAAGAACAACAACCTACATCATCCACTACAATTCCAATGCCTCCGGTAGTTTCATTTCCTCAACGGCTCAAGCCAAATAAGCTAGACAAAGATTTTGAAAGTTTGTTAAAATTTTCAAGCAATTGCATATTAATATTTCTTTCGCTGATGCTATTTTACAGATTCTTTCATAAGCAAAGTTTCTCAAGGAGATCATGACGCGAAAGAGGAAATTGGAAGATCACAAAACAATAGCATTAACGGAGAAGTGTAGTGTCATTATACAAAACAAGTTGCCACCAAAATTGAAAGATCTGGAGAGTTTTTCTATATCTTGCACCATCGGTAGCATTGAATTTTCTAAGGTATTATGTGACCTTGGTGCTAGTGTATCCTTAATCCCTCTAACGGTGGTTAGACAATTAGGTTTGTATGAGTTAAAACGCACTAATATGACTTTACAGCTAGTCGATTGGTCTATTAGACACCCATTAGGAATTTTGAAAAATGTGTTGATTAAAGCTCAAAAATTCATCAATCCTGTGGATTTTGTGGTATTAGATATGGAGGAAGATATATCTATGCCAATTATTCTTGGTAGACCATTTTTAGCAACTGCGGGTACTATTATTGATGTCAAAAATGGCAAACTCAAGTTTCAAGTAGGTGAAAAAGAGGTAGTATTTGACTTGAATGAAATGAAAAAATATCCTTCTTTTACCGACCATACTTGTTCCATTGGCATGATTGAAATGCTAACCCAAGAGTTGAGTCGAGTCAATTTTGACTTCGATCCTCTTGAACTTTGTTTAACAAGTGTAGGGATGCAAGAGGGAAATGATGAAGAAATTGAAACGTTGGTCAAGTACTTGGATTTTCATTCACCTTATAAAAGAGGTAATTTTTATGAGACGCTTGGTCAAGGAAAAGGACTCCCACCACTTTTGGAGATTGTACCGCCAAATTAGAGCTGAAACCGCTTCCAAACCATCTAAGGTATGAATTCTTTGGAGAGAATAGCACCTACCGGTGATTGTAAGTGCTCACTTAGACAAGGAACAAATTACGAAGCTGCTTAGAGTTTTAAGAAAACACAAAAGGGCGATTGGGTGGACAATTTTGGATGTAAAAGGTATAAGTCCTTCTATATGTATGCATCGCATTTTGCTAGAGGACAATCGCAAACTGGTGGTGGAGATTCAAAGGAGACTCAATTCAAATATGAAAAAGGTGGTAAAAAATGAAATTCTCAAATGGCTTGATGCAGGTATAATCTTTCCAATCTCTGATAGTATTTGGATTAGTCTCATTCATGTTGTCCCTAAGAAGGATGGAATCACAATAATAATGGGCGGGTGGTGAATGTGCTTTGATTATAGGAAATTTAATGCAGTTACTAGAAATGATCACTTTTCTTTACCCTTTCTTGGTCAATTATTAGAACGTATAGCTGGTTATGAATTTTATTGTTTCCTTGATGAATTTTCAGGTTATAACCAAATAGCTATAGCTCCTGAAGATTAAGAAATGACCACATTCAATTGCCCCTATGGCATCTTTGCTTTTAGAAGGATGCCATTTGGCCTGTGCAATGCTCCTGCAATATTTCAACGTTGCACGATAGCCATATTTTCTAATTATATTGAAAAAATTGTGGATGATTTTTCAGTCTTCAGTTCATCTTTTAGCCATTGTCTTCATAATTTAGATTTAATTTTGCAGAGATGCGAGGAGACAAATCTTGTGCTAAATTGGGAGAAATGCCATTTTATGTTCATGAAGGAATTGTTCTAGGGCACAAGATTTCCTCTAAAGGAATTGAGGTGGACAAAGCAAAAATAGAAATTATTGAACGAATGCCACCTCCAACTAATGTCAAGGGGATAAGAAGCTTTCTTGGACACGTAAGCTTTTATAGACATTTTATTAAGGATTTTTCTAAGATAGAAACATCAGTGTGTGATTTACTATGTAAAGATACCCCTTTTCATTTTAATAATGAGTGTTTAATTGCATTTGATAGATTAAATAAGGAATTAGTTTCCACACCCATTATAACTTAACCGGATTGTTCACTACCTTTTGAATTGATGTGTGATGCAAGCGACTACGCGGTTGGAGCAGTTTTGGGGCAAAAGAAAGAAGGAAGGATGCATGTTATCTCTTATGCTAGTAAATTGCTGAACAAGGCACAGGTCAATTATGCAACTACGGAGAAAGAGCTATTGGTAGTGATATTTGCCCTGGATAAATTTAGATTATCTATACGGACCATTCAGCTCTTAAATACTTACTTCATAAGAAAGATGTAAAATCTTGTCTAATCTGGTGGATTCTTTTATTGCAGGAATTTGATGTTGATATTAAGGATAAAAAGGGATCGGAGAATCTTGTGGCGAATCACCTTTCGAGACTGGAGTACATCTCGACAAATGACCAACTTCCAATTAAAGAAAAATTTTCGGATGAATTTGTCTTAGCACTTATCAATTCTCCATGGTATGCGAATTTTTCTAATTATTTGGTAAGTGGAGTACTTCCAAAGGGTTTTAATTTTCACTAAAAGAAGAAATTCTTACATGATGTTAAAAGCTATTTTTGGGAGGAGCCCTTACTCTATAAGCATTGTGCCGATAGAATGGTTCGTAGATGTGTTTCCGATGAGACGATACGTGATATTATTTATCATTGTCATAACTTGAAAACGGGTGGTCATTTTAGTACTTCTAAGACCGTAGCCAAGGTGTGGCAATCGGAATTTTATTGGCCTACCATATACCGAGATGTTCGGAAGTATGTTAAAGTTGTGATGCCTGTCAAAGAATAGGAAATATTACTAGAAAAAATGAAATGCCCTTAACTACTTTCTTAGAAGTAGAGTTATTTGATGTGTGGGGTATGGATTTTATGAGACCATTTCCTATTTTTTTTAATAATAAGTACATCTTAGTAGCTGTAGACTGTGAGGACTTGCAAGTTCATTTATATTTTCTTATAATTTCCTTTATTCTTGAATAAGTTAATTTATAATTTCCTTAGTACAAAATTACTTGTCTTAGTTGGTATAACAAATAATAGAGTTGAGAGTTTTACTTTTACTTGTATAGTTGGAGCATGCTAGGGTTTAAGGTGTATAATGGTAGTGTGATCAATTGGTGAGGTGTGTACTAAATTTGGTGGATAAGAGCGGGTATTAAGTAAGAGGAAAGATGTGATTAAAAGTGCTAAGAGTAAGTTAGTGAATCATAATTTAAAACAAAAGTACAAGAGAGTTAAGAAAATAGCCTTAAACCGATGGGTGTCATTTGTTACCGGGGGAGAACACCACTTGACCAATACTTTCTTTCCATAATCTTCTTATTTTTCTTTCATTTATCATCTCCTAATTTTGTCCTATGGCTGGCTGAAATTCTTGACCAAGAAGAGAGGGAAACAAAAAAAAAAAAGAGGAAAAAACTTGGCTTGCCAAGTGTTGGCAATCAAGGGCTTGTTTGACCAAAAGCTTTTTTCCATCTTTATCATCCAAGTGAACCAAGTTTTCTTCATTTTCTTCCTACCTTGGCCGACCAAAAGAGAGGAAAAAAGGGAGAGGAAAGCTTCAAGTTTCATCTTCATTTTGCCTTGCTTGAGTGAGAAATCAACAAGAATCACAAATCTAAATCGAACAAAGTTGCACTAAGGTAACAAGGAAGCTTGTAGTGGAGATTTTTTAGAGAGGAAAGTCTTGATTCTTTACTTTCTTCAAGGGGTTTCAAGGTACTAAGTTGGAAAACTTTTTTTCTCTTTCTTATCTTGCAATTTAGTGAGAAGATGACTTGAAATTAGAAGTTTTGTGGATGATAACCTAGATTGGTAAAGATTGGTGAAATTTTAGCCTAGGGTTTCATTTTTCCGGCCTTTTTTCTTATTTTTCAGCCATGGTATGATGGTATCTAGCTTTGTTATGAACTTGTATGAAGATTTGTAGCTTTATTGTGACTTTTAAGTTTCCAAATAGGAATTTCCAGCTTTAGTTCTAAAATTCCAGCTTGTGATGAAAAATTTCAGCTTAGGGTTTGTGATTTTGCAGTTTTTGTAGGCTGAGATATGAGTTTGTTATTTGTGTGTTTTGACTAGCCTTATGGCTTAGAATTACTGCCCTTTTTGATCTGG